TGTGTGTGTGTGTGTGTGTGTGTGTGTGTGTGTGTGTGTGTGTGTGTGTGTGTGTGTGTGTGTGTGTGTGTGTGTGTGTGTGTGTGTGTGTGTGTGTGGGCTTCACGTTTGCAGAAGTGTCATAGTTTATGTAGGTGCTTCTATATGTGTGTTTGTGTACATGTTTGTAGAAATGTTACAGTATTATGTATGCATTTGTGTGCCTGTTTGTACTTGTTTATGTCTATGCAACTGTTTTTTCTCTGCGTGTGCGTATGTGTATGTGAATGACAAGATGACACAGGATTCTCAGCTTAAACAATAGGTGACATACGTGATGATATTCTAACAAACACCTGAAATGGCCAGTGCTTCGTGATGTGGGAGGGCCTATGAACGGGGGAAGGGGGGTGGGGGGTGGGGCGAGGTGGGGGGGCGGGGGAGGGGAGTGAAGGGCTGAAGGAAGAAGGGAAAGAAGGAACTCTTCCTGTCCTGTAGAGCCAAAAAGGGGAAACGTGTTGATTTTCCCCTCGCTGGTCCGATCACTCATGTTATTCGTGTTACATTTATACATTACATCCACCCAAACTGACCTTCACCCATCTAGAAGGTCACTGGCGAAGAAAGAAACTCAGTTGAGAGAGAAAAAAAGGTCAATTCTCTGTCTTTTTTTTATCAGCCTTTCATGATTATCTTTCCAACCATAATCGCCACAGCTGATAAGAGATATACAGTTTATTCATCACAACGTTACTCTACCTTCCTGTGGCAGAGAGAGGAAGAAAAAAAATATATATTTACATACATCATCCTTTGGAATTTATGACTCGTACGTTTGTTAACACCCAGCAAATTTCAAGAACAATAAATGAGACAGCACATTCACTTTGGAAAATGAAAAATAATATATGTACACAATATGGTCAGTCTTTCCCACAACCAAACACTAAAAAAATCACGTCCAGTCACGGAGTTTTAAAATCGCCAGTGAGATTTTTTTTCTTCATTTTTTTCCCCCTTTTCCTGACCTTTATTTTTTCTTTCCTTCGGCCGGTCAGATAACATGTGGGAAATATCTCTTAACTGCCGTCGAACTTTCGTAATTAAAGTTACGATAACCTGCAGCTTGCGAGATGAAAAAAACAGATACCTTGATTGCATTATCTTTCGTTTTATTGATTTAATATCTTTTTCAGCCCTGTTGTGATAACGAAGTGTGTAAATACACTAACTGTTCTAATTTTCGGATTGTCTGATACAAGTCTTAAACACGTTCTTGTATTGGTTCATATAGATTTACTGTAAGCTTGAACTTACCTGGTTGTTTATGATTGAATGATATATGTATCCGATTTAAATAACATATTCTCTTCATTGCGTGGCTTTGTAAAAAATGAGAAAGTGGGGCTATTTAAGAGAGCAATAGGTTATAAGGTGTTATTTGAGAAAACATGAGAAAAAAAATCTGCCATAAGTACAACACTGTAAAAGGAACTCTTGATTGACATGTATTTAGTTGATCACTTGCCCAATTTGAAAAAAAATAAAGATAATAGAAATATTATTTGTGATAATGTAAAATAATGAAAAAAAAACGATAACATTAAAACAATATTGAAGACACAAAATATATCTTTAGAGAGAAATAGGCTGAATTAGAGAAATAGACATAAATAAAATAGATGAATAGTAAATATGAGACAGAGAGAGAAAGGCATGAAACAGCGAGCCTGCCACTTTGCGGTGAATGGTTCATCGTTATTTCAGGGCCTCCGAGAGCCTGTGGCAGCTGTAATGAAGAGCTGAATTAATGATCAGGTCAAATATACTTTCACCGCCATTTTCGCCATGCGTTTTCCTACTTTTATTTGTCTGATATTTCTTTGATACTTCTACACTGCAGTCTTTAGTTTCGATATTTCCATGTATGTTTGTTCTAATAATCAGTAAGTCAAAGACACATAACAATGAAAGTATCATTACCAGATATGTATTTCACATCATCTTTTTCCGAAGATTATTTTCGAGCTTTCTTCTGTCTCTCTCATTCTCGTTTTTCATTTCTTCCTGTCTCGAGGATGAAACAGCAGGAAGACTCGTTTCACGCCGCATGTCAGGGAATTCCATGTATATCCGAACCGCACGCGACCCTATGATTGATTACACTTCCTCCTCCTCTTCCTTACTTTCTTTATTCTTTTTCTTCTTTTTTTTCCCTCAAATTCGCGTCACCAAGACCACAGCGAACGTGGCGGACGGCCCTTAACCTTACCTAGTATAAACTGTAGCACCACACTTGCGACTGTCGAAGGTATAACACGTGCGTCTTTGGTCGTCGCCCGAGAGAACTAGACTCACACTTAAGCTATATAAATGCATATTCATAGTCACACACCGTCTTTTTTTTTTATCTTTTTTTCCTCACGTCGGAAACAAACAACAAAATTTTCTTCACAGATTCTTTTCCTACTTTTTTCAGCCAAATTCTAGTGGCAAATTATTCCATTGTCAGTTTGTCTGT